TAAGGGGACAAGCCCTCACAAAAGTGCCAATGCTTCTTAAGCCCGGTGGCCAACTCTGATGATAGCAGAATGAGCCCCCTTTTCTTGGAGGTTTAGAGGTCCAAGCTCCAGATCCTCAAGGGGTCACCTCCACTACCATTCCTGAGGCAATTTTGGAAGATTTAAAGACTTTCAAAGATCTTATAGAGATTGCCTATAATGTGGCCTAAGAGGTGGCAAAAAGCTTATAAGATTTGGGGGCCTGTTGTTAAGGCTTGGGATGCCACTACTGCTATAGCCTCAAATGGTGCTAGCAATTTAGGGGGCTCGGGGCCTTTGTTGAAGTCCAAGAGGTTTCCTTAACTCCTATTATTGCTCCAGTGGGAGGTACTGAGATCGTAGGTTCAGAAAGACTTGTGGAAGAGCTATCGAGAGCTATCGGTGCCTATTCAATAATTGCTAGCCCTTTAATCTCAGAGTGTGTATAACAGCATGGCTCCCAGCCCCTTACATTGGCGAATGCGGTGCTAGCACGTGTCACCTTACAGGCCCATGTGTGACTTTTTCCATGGTAGTAAATGGGTTATTCCTCACCCCACCAAAGAGGTCTTTTAAAACCTTTCTAGGGATCAAGCCCCTAACCTCTCCTACCTTAGCAAAGTTGTGGCCAGACCTTTACTAAGGTAGGAGATGTTGGGGCTCGATTCTTGGGGAGGTTCCCCTTGTGTGGGAATAACTCATGTACTATTATGAATAAAGTTGGCTTCTACTGTCATGAGGTGGGTGAGCCTAGCATTGCCAAAGCAAGGGTCTGGGTTGCTATTACAACATTTCAATCATCAGGCTTGATTTGCATTCTGTTATCATCTTTTGCACTTGTTGTATCGATATACCCTTAGAGGGTGGTGGTCCAAAATATTATCTTACACCCATGCCTTTTGAACTCCCCTTATATGGCTGGGATGCTCTTTACTTCCTAAAGCTGTGGTCAATATATCTTTTCTGTCAATAGATGTAAAGGTCCCCTAAGAGGTTGCTTTTGTAAGAGAATTTTAGAACATGCAAGCAACCAATACAATTAGTATATTTAAATCTTATAATCTAGATGTTGACTATTAAAATACTTACAATCTTTGCAGCCACTTCTCTAGCCTCAGTAGTAATAAACTCTCCCCTTTTGTTTTTTTGCCCTCTCTTCCACGCTTCAGCACGACTAATAGGAGATGGAGGGGATATGTCTCTAATATCATCAACCCCTGTTGCTTATTTTTGAGCTTCCCACTTCTCCTAAAGCATTATATTGTAAACATTTTTATACCATCATCAAGCCATAGTATGATTGTATGGGTTTTTCTTTTGATGCTCTTGACGCTTTTACTTTTTTTTCTATTAAAAAAAATGAAAAGTATTTATTAAAGATGAGAATTTAATAATAATAATTGAATATATATTTTTTATTTCACTTACTAAAAATTTGAGATTATATTTACTATCGACAAATTTTATCCACATCTCATAATCAATGAAAGGATACTTATCCCATGGTTGTTATTTGCTGCTATCATTGTCACTGCCATCTTCATTTTTACTATTAATCTTGGAAAACACGTAATCTCTAGTAAGTTTGAATTTGAAATCTCTTTATTGGCTAGTGGCATGAAAGCCACTTGTAATTGAAAGTGTCAAATGTATCATAAGTAACATGTAAAATAACAAATGCTAACAATGAATTTAGTAACAATTAATAATTCAATACAACAAATAATAGATATGATATGAAAATAATAAATTTTAAAAATAGATACGAATTTACTAAAAATTAGAGATGTACATGTATAGTGTCCCAAACTTGATCTCTTTCACTTTCTTTTACATTATCTCATTCATCCTCCATAATGCTAATTTTTTGACGTGCTACAAGTTTGACATAACTTTTAAAAGGATTTTCTTTTTTCCATCAATTGGTTCGCTTATCTCATTAAAACCAAAGTAGATCTTCCCATCAATTTATGCCAACTTAGTAAGTCGTGTGGTTCTATTTCTATTTATTTTAGGCTTGTTTTTTTTAGTGCAAGTGCTAGTTACATTCTCCATATTACTCCTAAAACAAATAAGATAATGAGATTAATATAATGTAATAAATTTAATTAAATTATTATAAAAATAAAAGCATCAAGAAATAAAATATTATTCTAATGTTGTAATATTAATTACCATTGTAACTGTATTTTAATTCTCCCATAAACCTTCAACATGATTAGTTCTCACATCATATATGTTATCTTCTTCATCTTCCACATCTAATATAGGCTGGGCCAGCATAAAAGGAGGAATTTTATCAATATCAAAACTTGATTCATTATTCTCATCATGAGTAAGGAGACTTTTTCCCAATAAAACCATAAACATCTTTTTATCTACTGCATCAGTGACATAAAAAACTTTTTTTGCATGAGTAGCCATAATAAAAGATTCCTCATTATTACTTGCCTTATTAAGGTCCACTAAAGTAAAACCCAGCTTATTAGTTTGAACATATTTCTTATCAACCCACCTACACTTAAAAATAGACACCTTAAATTTGAAGTAATCAACTTCCCATATTTCTTTAATAACTTCAAAATATGACATGGATGCTAATGTCGGATGTTTATCTTTGAAACTAAAAAAATATGTTGCTTCACTTATTAGCATTACCCTACTATTTTGTATAGTGCTATTGTTATCTTACTATTTTGTATAGAATGAACCCTCATTAATGTCATATCCACTCTAAGTTTTAACATTAAAGTTAGGACCACTAGCTAACCATCTTAATGTATTAGAAGTATTGGACTTTCCACACAATCCTCCTTTACTTTTGTCCTAAACCAAAGTGAGAAACGTTTGTTATGCTCATTTAGCAATCATTTCTCTATCTTTTTAGGATTCTGAACCTTTAATTCCTCTTGATGTATGGTTAAGTAATCCTAAACTTTATTGGTATTATTTGAGATACACAAATGTGCTTGTTGCACTTTCTCACATGTCATGGGCTTTACTTTCATCCCTCGTGTCCCTTGCCCTTTAATTCTCATCCCCTTGTGGTGAGACTCAGGAACTCCAATGAATTTTACTTCTGATAGATAATTGATACAAAACTCAACAACCTCCTTAGCAACATACCTTTCAACAATAGAAGCTTTTGGTTAATGAGGATTCTTCATATATCCTTTAGAATTTTCATACACCGCTCAAATGGATACATCCAACGTAGATAAATAGGGTCGCACACCTTTATTTCTCTTACCAAATGTACAATTAAGTGTACGATTATGTCAAAAAATGATGGAATAAAATACATTTTAAGTTGACATAAGGCAATGACATTATTATTTTGTAAGTCATCTAATTTATCAAGATGAATGACTTTGTTACAAATTTCATTAAAGAAGACATATAATTTCATAATTGACTTTCTCACCTTTTCCTTTAGTATGTCTAAAATTGCTATTGATAATAATTATTGCATTAGTACATAAAAATCATGAGACTTTATACCTATTAATTTTAAATCTTTTATCGATATAAGGTTCTTGACATTTGAAGAATATACTTGTGGCATTTTAGTACCACATAGATACTCACCAATTTTTTTTAATAATCAGTTATTGATACCACAACAGGCCATTTATGGCTTGTAAAATGGCCTGTCGTAATATCCAATCATTTTCTTAAAAAATTTTATTTTTTTAATAATCAACTTTAGAATATCATGACAGGCCATTTACAAGCCATAAAAAATTTAAGAAAAATAAATTATTAGGGCATCACGACAAGCCATAATGGCCTATTGTGATATCCTAATAATTAATTTATTTATTAAATTTTTTTTATCAACTGTGGATATCACAAGAAGCTATTATGGCCTTTTGTGACATTAACTATTTTTTAATAAATTTCTTTCTTTTTCAATTCTGGTAAGTAGAGCTTTGGGTTTCATTTATTTTTTTAAAAAAATTTATTTCACACGTATGGGATATCAGACAGGCCATTGGCCTGTCATGCAGATATCTTTTATTTTTTTAAAAAATTCCTCTTTTATAAGTGTATCAATATCATTTAATTTATTTAAATAATTTATTAATTTATTTATATATATAACTTAAATTTGAAATACTTCTTACTTAAATTTTTTTTATAATTATAACAATATTTGTTTTATTTAACTGTCATTATAATTACATAATTTCTAGCTTTAATTACTGAAATTGCTATTGAGTACGTTATAGCCACAATTACTTCTATAATAGTGGTCAAAAGTTTGTCATAAAAATTATTTTTTGTACTAGTGTTAAGTAGCTTCAACCATTAGCAGTTGTGAAATACACTAGCCACAATCATCTGCGATTAAAAATGCAAATAAAAGTCCCTGTTTTGATTTGAGCCTTACAGTTAGGCTTGATTTTTTGGTGCTTTGGAGCTAGATTTGAACTTTGCAATCCTTTGAGGTAAGTTTTTTTTTCCTTCCTTTCTACCATTCTACACATTTTCTTTGAGTTTGAGGATGATTTTTAGATTAGGATTTTCCTATGAGGTAGATAATCCAAACTTATGATGATTTATTATATTTGTTGAGGTTGTTGGGAGTATAATAAATGCTATATGACATTTCTTTGAGGTTAAATTTTGAATTTAAGAATTAAGCAAATAATATATATGGAGATATTTGCATTTTGAAATTCTCAGTAATCAAACATAAATTTTTTACATGAAATAAACACAACTTACAAAGTGGTAATAAAAATAGCACAACTAGTCAACTACAAGAAACAAAAAATATAACTAAAGTCTACACCACATTTATCAAATTATATAATTTTGTAATTTCAAAATGACACAAGTAAACAACGAAAAATCACACATACACAACTTATATAATTCCTTGCACTTCTTAGTAATTTAAGACTACATTTAGACCGTTAATGTTAGATTTAGATAGTTTAAGTTTCATTGATTTTTCTAATTTTGAAAGTCTAAATTCAATCAGAGATCATAGAGACGTGTATTAGGGCGAGGGATTCTCCAGCATGGATTTTTTGGGACATCCTAAGATTCCTGTAATATTCGTAAGAGAAAAGAAGAAAGAGACGAGGATGATGATTAGAGTCCACAAGCTCCTCAGGTGATTCTATGTCTCCCTTCTTTGGTCCCAACAACAATGAAGCTATTGACACTCTCACATTTGCTTCCTTACACTCTACTCTGTGTTTGACTGTCGCAAACCTTCCATTGCGTCATAACTACACACATCAACTCCCTACTTTACATTGATTTACATAGAGTCTGAGAAATGAGTTGTATTATTCACTTCATAATTTATAAGTAACAAAATTTGTTTACACACATAGATACATGAAATTTGATCCTCTTAACCCCTCAATTTGTTTCAATTTTAAATTATAGTTTAATTTATCTTTTTGATATATATGTAGTTCAATTAAAATAAGAAATAAATAAATATTACATTCCCTAGATTTAGGAAGGGAAAGAAAACTAACAATTGAAATTTATAATCTAATGAAATAGGGGGGGCACAGATTTTGCATCCCCTGATTTAGGAAGGAAAGAACAAAGTAACAATTTAGATCAATCAACTAATACCATTCAAGCAAGCTTGTGAAAATTATTCATGCTTTCAATAATTTTGATTTGGAAGAACTTCCACTAATAACAAAGGGAAAATTGCAATCAAGGACGAGGGAAAATAAGCAATAAGATTGAGGACCGGAAAATCTTGAAATTAAATCTAAGGACAATGGTCCTTTTTTGGAGTTTAAAAATAATATTTTGACTAAAAGACCCTTTACACTGACTAATTGTGCATCTCAAAAAAAGGTGTTTTACTTAAAATATTATTTTTAAGCTACAAAAAAAGACCATGATCCTTAAATTCAATTTCATGATTTTATGATCCTCAATTTTGATTGCTAGTTTTCTAAGGCCCTTAATTGTGGTTTTTCCAATAACCAAATGTCCAAACAAACTTGTTGAGGCCAAGAGATGCAACTTACATGAGCAATATCACCAAGAATGGCAAAGAAGCTTCTTGGGCAAGGAGGGACATCAACAAATGAACCAGACTCATTATTAATCACTTGAAGCCCTCCAACATTTTCATCATCTTGTAGAATAGCGATGAAGCTTAGGTCTGCGTGCGTTTGCACGCCACATGACCCTTTCGTTTCTGGTGTAAAATCGTATTTGTTAATCCTGGAATAACATGTCTATTTCTTGAAATATCTATTTGCTTCTTTCAAACCCAAACTCTCTGCCATCCTTTCTAATACATCCATCTACAACTCACGTATTGCTTTCCCATATGATTCTATCACTTTCCTGCATGCCACACATCACATATACATACACTTCTTGGAAATTGGATTCAGTAACAGTCAATAACAATCTTGAAAGATCAATAACATGCTTAGTAGACTCAATAGGTAATGAGGCTAGTTTACTTTCTGCTTGTGCATAAACAAAACTAAGGGTATTACGTGGTATGCCCCATCCTTTTTTTTTTTGAAGTAAAAATGGAGAATTTCTTTCCTCAAAATATAGCTAAACAGCACATGGTTTTATACCAAAAAAGAACTAGGCTGTGGGTGAACTATACAATAGAAACAAAAAGAACAAAGGGCGAAGCATCTAATCGAGAGCAGAAAGCTTACGTTTGGTGAGGAGAGAAATCTCGAACCGCGTGACAAGAAACCATGTTGTTGAGTCCCAAGCTCTCGTAGAAAGTGACCGGGAACGCGGAAACAGAATCGTGCTATTTTAGGAACAGAACCCTAAAACAACAAAAATACAAGAACAAAAGAAAAGGGACGAAATTTATGACGAAAATAAAGAAAGGTATGAAGTAAACAATAGGATAATGATCAAGGAGAAGATCCTCTAGAACACTTGCCTCTAGTAACCTCAACCTTCGAAAATATCACAAGAGTTGATCACGCTCTTGATCACGTCTGTTTTTCACACGGGATGCTACCACAAAGCACTAAGGCTCACAAGAGTTATAAACTCTAAAATGAATAATTTCATTTAACTTCTGTGTCCTTTACAATAAGGAACATGCCTAATTTATATAGGCTCATAGAAAAAAATATTTCCTAAAATTAAAACCCTAATTTCCTAATACTAAAAGGAGAAATAATATAAAATAATGATAAAATATTTAGCCACATAATTTAGGAGATATAATCCTAAAATTATGGGATTACAAAATTTAGAAATTAATACTATAATTAATTTTAACCTTTGACTAGACTCAAAATAGAAAATCAAATCAAAGGACCATTAAAATAGGAAATAATTTAGGAGACAATTAAGGGATCATAAAGAATTTAAAATCACGCCACTCTTGACTTCTTTACTAGGGTTTCATGCCTCCTTGCTTGCAAGAGGCTTAACTTGTAGTCTTCCTTGCATTGGACTAAGGTTTACATCTCTTGGGCTTGACTCTTCATGAGTTTGGATCTTAAATACATTATACACGTATAAATGCTCTCCTTTGGGCTTGAGAGGAGTACCCAATGCTCTCTAAGCTCTTGAACTTCTTGCACAAGACTGAACAAGGCTTGCTTCATGGCTTTAGTTTGGATTGAAAATATTGGGCTCCTTCTATGTCACCATACTCATAATTATCATCCTCAAGCTTCGTTGCCATTAATGTCATGTTACCCGTGCTATGGGGTCCATCAGAAAGGATTCCTAGAATTTGGAGGAATTCAGTGTTTCACATCTTGATCTCTACAGGAAGGTCGAGCAGAGATCTCACAGCCTTCTTCATCTCCGCCATGAGACTTGAATCAATACGATGGTTCGTCAATCTGAAACATCCCCACTCCTCGCACGCCTCTCTCAGCTTCTTCTTGAGATTATCTCCAGAATCTTGCAGATCGATCACTGGCATGACGTTCATCTTCACTATTTTCCCCGTCTGTCTGGATTTCTGGTGGCTGTACTGTACATATATAGCCATGAAGAAAGCGCGATGCAGCCACGCATGACTTGTTGCTGGATTCCCGCGCTGATCACATGATGAGCACCGATTTGTTTTAATATTAAATATTTTTACAGTACATATGCGCTCATCAGAGTCCGGTTTTGGGGCTGGTCAATTGAGCACTGAGCAATTTGGACGTCCGGATTTTTTATTTTTATGTTTTTGTTTCATATTTATTACAAAAATTTTGATAATAAATTTATCTTATATCAATATAGACAATACTAGAATTTTACTTCGATGATTCAATATAATATTAAAATTTTTAAAATTTTTATAAATAGATTATCCAGTTATATTTTAGACAGTTAAAAGTGCCAGTTTGAATGTTATTTTTATTTTTATATTATATTTATTAAAATAAAAATTTAAAAATATTTTAAAATATTAATTATTAAATCCAAACAGTTCAAAATACATCTAGATAATTAATTTATAAAAATTATAAAAAATTTTAATATTAAATTGGATCATCTATGTTAAATGTATATTATCTAAATTGATAATGAGATAAATTTATTAAAATTTTATAATTTTTTATAATAAATATAAAAATAAAATTTAAAAATCTGGACTCTAGAAGGTCTAGATTGCTCATCAAGTGATGATCACCAATTTTCATATTTTGTTTTAAATATTTTATTTTATATTTATTAAAATAAATATATAAATAATAATGAACTTATTCTATCATCAATTTGAATAATGCGGACTTAATTTTGATGATCTAATTTAATATTAAATATTTTTATTTGTTATAAATTAACTATCTAAATATACTTTAAACAGTTTAAATTTAAAATTTTTAAATTGTAGCTTTTTTTAATATTTTAAAGTGTCAATTTAAATATTATCTTTATCTTTATTTTTATTATTATATTTACTAAAATAAAAATTTTTAAAATTTTTAAAACATCTTATTATTAAATTCAAATTATTCAGAATACATCTTGATAATCAATTTATAGAAATTATAAAAAAATTTAATATTAAATTAAAGTATTCATATTAAATTGTATTGTTCATATTGATGATAAAATAGATTTATTAAAAATTTATTATTTTTATAGTAAATATAAAATATAAATATAAAAATAAAATCTTAAAATTTAATTTGAACAGTTATAAGTACCAAAACCGAACGCCTTGCTGCTGCTCTCTGTCTAGCACCCGAATTTTGTCATGCAGCTAGTTGTGAGTTTGTAATTGTTTTCTGAAAAATGGCTCAAGTATATTTTAATCTTCTAATTTTATATAAAATTTTAATTTAATATTTTAATTTTATAAAATATTTTTTTATTATTTAACTATAACACTGTTAGTTTTAAATAACTATTTTTTATATCAATAATTATTATTTTTAAAAAATTAAATTGAATATGTCAATATTTGAAAATATTTTGTCAACATTTAAAAGTTTCATATAATTTTTTTTTTTGATAAAACTAACCATGTTAGAAATGAAGGATTGAAAATATACTTTATAAAATTAATCGATCAAAATGAATTTTTGTGCAAAATTAATGGACTAAAATATATATTTTAGCTTTAAAAAATTAATCATTTGTTTCTTATAATTTTAATTTAATATTTGACTCACTAACTCAATTTTAATAGTTTTGATCCGACTGTAAATTAATTGTTGCCATTAATTCTGTTGGAGGCAAGGCAATGGGAATCTCTCCTCTACCCTTACCCTTCGTCTGGATGGAAAGAAACATTAAGAGGAAAGAAAATAAGAGTAAAGAAAATAAAAAGAAGAGAAAACTCAAAAAAAGAAAATATTATCTTTGATTGTGTTTGGATGAATAAAAGAAAATAAAGAGTAAAGAAAATAAATAAATATTATAATAATTATAATGCCTTTATGTCAATATATTATATTTCATATAATTAAACGTGAATAATTTATTAAAATTAAAATAAAAGAATTATAAATCATTTCGCTAAACTGAAATTCAACAGTAAAAGGATCTAGAAAAGGGAAATAAAGTAAAAATTGCATACCAATTTGGCATTAACATTGCACTGTGGATTGTTACCATGAAATTGAAAAAGAAGAACTAAAGTTGAGGAAGAAGTGTGCATGATAATGTCATGGAAGCTGCCTGGGTTGATAAAGAACATGCATCGATAGAATATGCTACTGCTGTTTGGCTTAAAGATGATAAGTCTTCAATAGAGGGGATAAAACTAGCGACGCATCTAGAAAAATAAATTGATAGGGGCATAATTTATTTTAAAATAAACATTAATATTTTATTAAAAATATAAATTTAATTATTTATTAACTTATATTAAAGGTATAATTTAATAAAATTAAGTGCTAAAAACAATACATAAAACATAAAATTATAATAAAAAATTATCTTTATATAAAAAAAATTTACGTCTATTCATTTCATGTTTTTTTATTTCTATTAAATTAAATCTATATACCTCTTTTTTATAGAAGAGAATTAATTTGTGATAAAATTTTCTATAAACAAAATATTTTATTAAATTATTACTCTTCTATTGTAAAGCTATTCCTACTTAAGAAATAGTATATAGATAAGATTTTAAGTTATCAAATTTTTAATGAAATAAGTAAATTTTTTTAAAGAGACAAATGAATTTTTTAAAATGATGGGGGCAATTGAAATTTTTTAAAAGGGGTCACTAAAACATTTTAGGGTCATTTTGTATAATTTTCTCTTGGCTAGTCTATCCATAACGTGGGTACGTCCCTCGGTAAAACAATGGATAAAGAGAGGGAGAGATGAGGGTTTGAGGATGGAATAAAAATTTTACTTTCAAATTTCTCTACTTATGGATAGAAAATTTGAAGAAAAAATGTGATGGGCTTCACATTTCATTTTCTCCTGCACTTTTCTTTTCTCCTACTTTTTTTTCATCAACCAAACAAGGAAAAATTTATTTCTTCCCATATTTTCTTTTCTTTCATATTTTACTTCCATCCAAACAAAACATTAGTATAGTGATAAAGTACTTGTGCAAGAGCGCTCGCTTCTGTTTAAGAAAGCGAGAAGGATTCACTGCTGTGGGAAAGACTCAATGCAGTTGAGTTTCTATTATTTTAATAATTTAAAATTTTAATTCTTAAACCTTAAAAATAAAATTCTAAAAATTAAAATTATGTTTACATTTAAGAACTAATTTTAAATCACTAAAATTTTAAATTGATAAAGATTTAATATTTCTATTTTTGTGTTCTAAAATATGGCAATTAATATTTAAAATGGTTAACATTATTGGGATTGAATTGCAGTGGATTAAAGTTTAAAACCTAAATTACAATTGAGGTAAAACTTTATGAACTAAGTTATAATAAGTTAGAATTTAAATATTGAATTATGAGTTAAAATTTAGGGAATGTGTTAAAACTAAATCAAAATTTAAAAACTAAATAATTAATTTTTCATTTATTATTTTTACTGAAAACGTGTCATGTTTCTATTTAAAAAAAAAAACAAGAATGGGCGCTGATAGGAGGACACAAGGGTTCCCCCAATGTTCCACGTTGCTCAATCTGATTTCCCTTTATAAAAAAAAAAAAAGGAAAAATTGGGATCCAGGTCTTATGGCAGAAATATTATAAAAAAAAACCATAATTTTTCAGCAAAATAGCACTAAAAAAGAGTGTCAGAAGTTAAAAAATAACCTTTAATGACTTACGAGAAAATCACTTTTAAGATTTCATGTAACAAATCTAAATATAAAAAGAAGTCCTATAAAACATAAAATTACTTTGAATTTTCATGTCCAATAAACTGACGGTGTCAATTATTGTGAACAATTAGCAGCAGAATTTTTCTATTGACAACTACATAATAACCATTAACAACGATCCAACAATAATTGCCAATTTCAAAAGACATGAAATTTTAGAATAATTTTATGATTTCACAGAATTGTTTTGCATTTAAATTTCTTGTTCGTGCTAAAAACTTACTAGTTGAAATGGTTCGGAGCACTCCTCAAAATGTGCCAGGCGTGCAAGAGAAGCTATGTTTATCACAATTGTAAATTCTCAAACTCCTTTACCACAATTTCCTTGGAATTGGGGAGGGGGTGGGGAACGCATTTGCATGTTTAACACACAAACATATATATATATATATATATATACATACATATATATATATATATATATATGAGTGCGTGCTAAGAATAACAATTTTCACTATTAAAAATAACTACCATCAAACTCTCATACTATGGATGATTTTGAGTATAAATAGCTTGACGGACTCTAGAAATTAGATATTTATATGAATTAATTCCCTGCACACATCCTTAGTTCTTGAAGACTACATTTAGGCTGTTCATATAAGATTTAGATAATTTAAGTTTCATTGATTTTTTTCATCTAAACTGTCTAAATTTAATCAGAGGCCATAGAGACACGTACTAGGGCAAGGGCTTCTCCGGCATGCATTTCTTGGGATATCCTAAGCTTCCTGTAATGTTCATAAGAGAAAGGAAGAAAGAGATGAGGATGATGATCAGAGTCCACAAGCTCCTCAGGTGCTTCTATGTCTCCCTCCTTTGGTCCCAATAAGAATGAAGCTATTGATACTCTCACACTTGCTTCCTTGCACTCTACTCTGTGCTTCACATTCCCAAACCTTCCATTGCTCCATACCTACACACATATTTGCATTATTCATTTCATAATTTGTAATAATCCCAATTTGTTTACACACACAGTTACATGAATTTGGATCCTCTTAAGTTGCAATCCCCTCAAAGGTTTCAATTTTAAACTATAGTTTGAATTAATTAAATAGTTTAGATTTATCATTTTTTATAGATATGTAGTTCAATTAAAATAAGAAATAAATAAATATCACATTCATTTAGGAAAGGAAAATTGTAACTAGATCCCAAATAAGAAAATTAATTATTTTTTCAATTTATTTCCAAGTCAAATTTTGAATTTAAAAAATTAGATTTCAACACTTAAGGCCTCGTTTCGAATGATGGGAGAGTTTTTAATGGAATCGGAATTGAAATCGAAATTGAAATTGGAATCGGAATCGGAATAGAATTGAGTTTTAAAAGTGTGTTTGATATGAAGATGGAATTCTAATATAATATTAATTTATATAGGTACTTAAAATAGGAAAAGACTAAATTGCCCTTTTTTTTTAAATTAAAAAGACCTATCTTATTATAAATGGACAAAAAAGATGAGGATAGTAGGGTCCACAAATTGAATTCAAGGGAATTGAAGCAATTCCATAGTCAATATGATGGAATTGGATTCTAACATTTTTGATGGAATTGGGATTCTTAAGAATTGCAATTCTTGCATACCAATCATGCCTAAATTATGATTCCATCTTTGATTCCATTTCCACCTTGTCAATTCAATGCTACCAAACATGACTTAAGTGATTGGGATTTACAAGTAACTAATTTTCTTGTATGGGACTCATACGTAATTCTCGTAAATTTGAATTTAGAATCCATATGGAATAGGGGAAACATAGCTGTTGCATCTCCCTAATTAGGAAAGAAAGAACAGAGTAACAATTCAGAATTTCAGATCAACTAACTATTAAAAATTAAAAATTAAAAATCCAGACAAGTTAAGGGAATTGCAAACTAAGATGATTCAAATTCCACAAGTATTATCATTTACGCAAGCTTGTTAAAATTAATCAAACTTTCAATCATTTTAATTTGGACAACCTTCTTCCACTAAAAACATATGTCAAAACCGCACACATTTCAGAACTTGATGATGATCACTTAGGATTGAAGGCCAAGAGATGTAACTTACATGAGCAATATCACCAAGAATGGCGAAGAGGCTTCCTGGGCAAGGAGGAACATCAACAAATGAACCAGACTTGTTCATGACTTGAAGCCCTCCAACATGTTCATCGTCTTGCAAAATGGTCAGGAAGCTTGAGTCTGTGTGGATTTGTACACCAGACGACCCAATTGTGTCTGGCGTGAAACTATACTTATTAATCCTGAACTGACATGGCCATTCCTTGAAATATCTATCTCCTTTTTCCAAATCCAAACTCTCTGCCATCTTTTCTGATACATCCATCAACAACTCATGAATTGCTTTCCCATATGTCTCTATCACTTTCCTGCATTCCACACATCACATGTATATACACTTCAAGCAAAAGCACTCTTTTGTTCTTGGAAATTGGATTCAGTAAGAGTCAACAACAATCTTGAAAGATCAATAACATGCTTAGGAGATCTAATAGGTAATGAGGGTAGTTTACTCTCTGCTTGTGCCTTGTAACACACATAACTATTGAGTAAAAATGGAGAATTTCATTCCTCAAAAAATAGCTAAACTGCACATAATTTTACATAAAAAATGAACCAGACTATGGGTGAACAATACAAGAGCAATAGAAATAAAAGAACAAAGGGCGAAAAAGGATTAATGCAATGTTTAGCTCACGAAAAAGTGTTTTCTACAAAGGAAATAAGAAATGTACCTAGAATTTTTTTTTTGTTTTTTGTTTTTTTAAAGGGGGGATAGGTGCATTGATCATTTGTTTTCCAGAAAGCAGTTTTCTACCTACCAAACATTACATAAAAATTCAACATAACAGTGACGTTAAGAACCTTGGAGGTGTGTTGCACAAGTGCTAGAACTTGATTCAACAATCCATGTTTGGAGAATTAAGCATTAGCAAAAGTCAACTTGTTTCTATTTTCCCAAAATTTCCAACACAACAAGCCACAAGTAATTCTTCAGCTTCACTTCTGCGATGAGGATTAAGATTGGCGACTAACCATTTTTCAAGAGGGAGGTTGAAGAAGTCACTCAAGTCACGGTCCGTTATTCCCCATCTTCAATACACATGCTATATTACGATCTATTTTAATGGCTTCACATTAAATTCATTCAAGTCCATTCCAACTGTCCATTTGAAACCCATATGATCATGTCATTTTCATCCCACCCATCCGTACGTATAATGTAGATGGATGGGATAAACTCCTACAATCCCTTGCTGGATCCATGTCATTTCCAGTGCAGAATATTAAATAAATAAATAAATGTTATGCATCAACTAAAATGCTTTCAGAAACAGAATATCAGACTTTCCCTCTCTAAAGTGTTCTTCTTGGTCTTAAACTTTTCCAACATGTTCTAAAAATTGGTGGTCTCCACAAACAAACAGGCACAGACACAGACAGATTTTTTTTCAGAGTTTGTATGCTTACAAGGAGACAAAATTTTTCCAAAATTAATTGATGATATTTACTTAATGGCAGATAATTGTAAGAAAAAAGGGAGAGAGAGTTACGCTTGGTGAGGAGAAGCATCTAGTTGAGAACAGAAAGCCTGGACGGCGTGAGAAGAAGCCATGTCGTAGAGACCCAAGCCCTCGTAGAGAGGATTCTTAGAACTTGGAGCCATATAGCCACTTCCTGCGATTACTTGTTCAGTGTTTCGCATCTTGATCTCTACAGGAAGGTCAAGCAGAGATCTCACAACCTTCTTCATCTCCGCCATCAGACTCGAATCAATAGGATGGTTCGTCAATCTGAAACATCCCCACTCCTCGCACGCCTCTCTCAGTTTCTTCTTGAGATTATCTCCGGCCTCTTCCAGATCGATCACTGGCACGACTCTGATCTTCGCCATGCCCTTTTTCCTCTTCTCCTCTGCCTAACTGGATTTCTTGTTGCTGTACACTGTACATATATAGCCAACAAGAACGTGCGATGATGAGGACACGGGGGTCCCGCCATGTTCAACTTTTCTCTACTTGATTTCTTTTTCCCCCTCTAAACAAAAAAAAGTAAAACATTGGGATTAGCGCCGAACAAAGAATTAAATGGGATTGAATGTTGACCAAATCCGAGCTCCTATCTCTTTCATACAAAAAAATTGAGTTCGGTAATTTATAATTCAGTTTGGTTCACTAATAATTTAAAAATTAATAACACCAACTTAATTTATAAGATTAGAAAATTAATTTTATGAATTTAATATTCACTTAATTTTTTTATGAGAAACAATAATCCATTCTAATCTCTTATTCTTATTAAATTATTAATAATTTTAAAATATTATTATCAATAATTAATAAATTAATTATAATCATATTAAATAAATTTATTAAGACCAAATTAGATTAAGTGATGTTCAATCTCTTATTCAATTCAATTAAAAAAATAATTTTATCTTTTTGATCTTTTCAATTTTATAAGATCAATTTTTAACAAAAATTAGATAAGATCGAACTTTGTTGAGGTTAAAGAAATTAAGACAATTTGCACCAGGACAAGAAGACTTTCTCCCGTCATTCCCTAATTTATTTAACGTGCAATTTTGTACAGACTACATACGGTAGTTTGACTTTTTACAGGCATGTGCGGACACAATGGTCCCACCATGGTTAACGCATTCAGTTTTTTTAATTAAAAAATATATTAAAAAGTAAGAGAAAGTGAGAATTTCATTCAAAAACCATAGATTTGACATTTTCAAATCAAACTAGATTTTATACCCTGAAACATGCACGATAATATTTTAATTTTAAAAATAAAAATAAAAAAATATTTTAATATCTTTAAAATAAAATATATTATTTTTTTATTTTATCTTAAGTGATAAATTATAAAATAGAGTATTTTATATTTTAAATCAATTAACTTATTCACATTCAGCTTTATATATAAGTAAATTTTAACCGATACATATAATTTAACAAAAGTGGTTAATTTTAATAATTACGTTTAAAATTAAAATTTTTTAATTAAAATATACTTATGATTAATATTTTATTTTTTATAATTTAATGATACTATCATTTAATGAGCAATAATGAAGAAAAGATATTATAAATACTTTTTGAAATTTTTTTTCTTATAAAAAATAACAACAAACCATATGAAAATTATGCTTACATTTAAAAATTGAGGAAATATATAATAAAATTTATCAATGAATTATATATGATAGAACTATAGTAATTTTATAAGATATATTATATTTGGATTTAATGACCGATACAAATCCTATTATTTAATAAGTGTCACATGCAATATAATAATAATTATTGCATAATACTATCTAGTTTTTATTGTAAATTTGGTTGTAAATGTTAAATTCCAAATGCGTAATAAAAATGAAAATTGAAAACTTATAATAAAATTATAAATTTAATTCTTACAGATTATAAAAATTCAATTCTACATCCATTGAAATTTAAGTCTGCATGCATAGGAAAATGAATTATAGAATAAAAAAATTTTATAAAATAAATTGCTTATTTATATACATAAGATGTATTCTTAATTTGTTATCCTATACGATAAATTTTAAATTAAAATAAGTTGGTGTTCACATATTTAATATCTACTGGTAATGAATTTTAAAATAAAGTACATTGTTCATTTTTAAAAATGAAATGAAACTTTAAGTCCCTCAAATTTTCTTAATTATTAATTTATTTTCTCAAGTTTAATTTTTATTAATTTAATTTCTTATGTCTTCTTAAATTTTTACTTTAATCTAATAGGTTTTGAAACAAAAATTGACCCTTAAATTAAATTGACATATAAAGTATGTTGATAATCTGACATATTACAAATGGATAAATGAGAATAAATTTGCCTTCAAGTCAATTTGATTTTATCATTAATTTATGTGGCTATCAATTCAATATTTTTTTTATCTATATTGACAAATTTTAATAGCATTTTACCTCTTCTTCAAACAATAAATTTGCAAGATTAAATTATTATTGAGGCAAACTTAAAAGACTAAATTATTATTAAAGTAAATTTTATCATCTCTTTGTAAATATGCATTAGATAACAAATTATAAAATAGAATGAATTATAATCTATATTGAATGATAGTATTTTTAACATATTATTTGTTTGTGTATATTATAATTTAATTTTTAATTTTAAAATTTTAATAACAAAGAGTAAGGGTAATAAATTTTGTTCATAAAATATCATTTATTTTTTTAATATATAAAAAATAACAAGTTATATAATAAAATAAGTTGACAAAAAGGTGAAAATTTCTATAATAAAAAATTGTGTAAATGCAAAAATTATTTGTGAAAGATTTATTTTAAATTTTGTTAAACAATACTCAAATTTGACTTAATTAAATAATCATATAAAAAAAGTGTGTTATTCACATTTTTTATATGCACAAGTATAAGAAATTCTTAAATACAATAATTTATTATTTATATTTATAAGTAATAAATTTTTAACTAAAATATATTTTTTAAATTTTAATTTATGTGGAAATCACATATAAAAATGTTTTTATTTTTATATTTTATATTTTTTATATGAACATGATATCATATTTTAAAATAATTTGTGTAAGAATAAAACAAATTGTTATATATTTTTCATGGCTAATAAATATTCTTCTATCGGAAGTAATTCTAGTTGAGGTATAATTAAATATTAAATACAAACACGTCTAAAAAATAATTTTGATCCTCCTTTTGTTATGTATAGCCCATATTAAAATAAAATAAAATGTTCATACAATTTAAAAAAAATTCTAAAACAAGATATGCATTTTAAATTTTCTTATATTATATGTTTTAGAATTTTAATTTACATGGATATAACAATTCATATATTTTAATTTTAAGTTATTTTCTATATTTGATTATATATGGGATAAAAAATTTTATGAAAAAAACAAGTTATTGTTTATTTCAATATTTTTAATCATAAATATGCTAGAAAAATAAAAAATATAGTTGCTCTCTCCATTTAAAAATGTAAGGTATTTTTAACTGAATCTCACCCTCTAATAAAGTAGTTATCTATTTTTAAATTAACTCTATCTTCTTATATTTATTCCTAATAAATACCTTACAATAAATATAAAGCAATTATCAATAGAAATATTTCTGAAAAAAGGTAATAATTATACTTCAAAAGAATAAAAATATCTTACATTTTTTAACATTCAACTTCTCAAAAATACTTTACATTTTTTAATAGAGGGAGTAATTTTTATTATTATAATTATTTATCTATAACCACATATTTCACATTTTCTATAAAGTATTATTTCTATAAAATTATTGAATTAATATGTACTCATAATTTAACTTCTAATAATATTTATGACTTGTTTTGGATCAAAGAAAATGATTGCAAGGTGGGATCTTAAACTTTGGTGACCTCAATTTTAAAAAAAATGGAGAATTGTGGTTATAAATTTTTTAATTTATTTCTTTTACGTCTGTCAAATAAAATTTTATAACATATTATATTTGTCTATTTTTCTAAAAGAACAAACTCATTAAAATACTATTTTTATTTTTTTATTTACTTTAAATAAAAAATAAAGATTAATATTCCCATACATCGCGCGGGTGTAAAATTTAGTTTCATTCAAAAGCCATAGATCTGACATATTTTGAAATCAAATTAGATTTCTTGTGTGATGCACAGAAATATTTTAATTTTTGAGGATAAAAATAAAAATAAATATTAAAAATTATTTTAATATACTTAAAGTGAAATATATTATTTTTCTCTTTATTTTATCTTAATTATAATTATTTTTTTAAATCTATAAAAATCTCTCTTAAAATCAATATTTAATATTTATATAATACAAATATGGCTTTTAATTTTAAATTTTTATTTTCACCCATCTAATAATTAATTGATAGTTACTATTCTAGATATACTCTTTTAAATTTTTATTTATGTTTTAAATCTATTAGTCATAAAACCTAATTTATTTAGTAGTTTTTAAAAAATTATATACATACTTCATCTTTTAAAAAATATGAGATATTTTTAATCAAATTTTATCCCAATAAAATAGTTAATTGTCTTTAAAATAACACCATATTTTCATATTTATTATTTAATTGGGTATTTTACTCTAAAATAAATGTAAAATAATTTATTCATTATGAATTTTTTTAAAAAGTCAATAATTACACCTCAAATACTAAAAATACCTTATATTTTTTAATATCCAACCCCTAAGAAATAACATCTTACATTTTTTAACAAAAGAATTAAGTTTACTAAAATAATATTTTCAAACACGTACCTGCAGGAAAAAAAATTAATGAAATAAGAGATAAATTAGTCAATATAATTTATGCTTATGTTTATTTAAATTTTATAATTTTTATTAATGAGACTAAAATGTAAGTTTTAAAAATAAAGGAGTTTTTATAATTCTAACAAAATAAAAGGGAAGATAGTGTATTTTACCTATAATTTATGAATTTGTGCAAATTAAAATCTAAAGAGTATTTTATTGTAAAATTTGTTATGTTCATACATATTAAAAATATAAATAATAAATTATTTTATTTTAGAATATATTGTCCTATGTAAGTTGATATCTATAAGGAGTAGCTTCTATTTTGCAATGTGCTACTCTTATACATATTAAAAAATAGCATTATTTTTTAAAATTACTTACATCTTGCAATTTGAAATATAATCTAGCTTGTTCTTTTCAAAATGTGTTACCCCGTCTATTACATTAAGAAAAATAAAATATATACTATAAGGAATTGTACTATAATTTATGTGTAACACACCAAAATTTTTTTTAAAAAATAATTTAACTCAATCATAGTTGGGTTACAGCCACCCAACACATTTTTATATCAATAATTTTAATATAAAATATTTTATAATTGGCTTCAACTCACA